TATAAACCCAGTCTCCATTTTGTTTTAAATCCTTTCGAACTTCTCTGAGGTCTTACGCCTCCCTAAGTTGGCATGTAATGATAAATTATATTGTGTTTAGAATTAAAAGCAAGTAGCTTTTTGCTGTTTTGGGATTAAATAGGTATACATCATCATGTCCATGGAAAATTTTCAAATTAGCTTTCGTATATATTGCTCCACGAAGAAAGCAATTGAAGAACGGATATCATTTTGAAAGAGCTGGGAAATTGTTACCCCTGTTAATTTGAAGTGTTGTTTCTATTTCTACTAGCAAGATGGTTTTTGAGTATTTGTGGTAGGGTCTCTTGTGTCCCTGGCTGTCATGGGACATGCTATGTAGATCAGTCTAGTCTGGTCTGCCTCCCTAACCACACCAGGCAGTCTTTATTAATTGGAGGGAAAAAAATGACTTTCTGTATTTCGAAACTTGGAAGTTGTAGAACACTTACACATGAAAAAAAATTTTATGTGCATGTGCACAGTTTCTGAGTTTATGTAGCCCACGTGTACCAGTTCCACAAATGCCCAAATGGGGATTGTGAGCCACCTGGTTTGGGTGCTGGGAAGCAAACCTTCCTTTTCCTAAAGAACAGTAGGTGCTCTTAAGCGCTCGCTGTTCCAATTCTTCAACCCTATACTTACACACAGACACATTTTCCTTGGTGTTTTTTGCTCTCCAATTGGAATCTTGGGATAATTGGAAAGGTGAAACACTTAGCTGAATTTAAGAATTAAGAAGGCTTGCCAAAAAAGTTCAGAGACAAAAACACTGCAAGGTAAGCAGGGCAGAATGTTACAGGTTTGTAAATACTGGCTACTTGTCCTGGATCCAGATTCAGTGTAATCCTGAATTACTTAGCAAGACTAAACATTTTCCCCAAAGGAATAAGGGGTAGTTTAAGGACTGGTTGTATAACTTGGTTGGTGAAAGAATGCTTGCCTGTCATGTAAGACTCACACACAAACATAATGCAAGGTAGCTCAAGTCCCCTGCATTTCATTCACTGACATAACCGCAAAGTAGCATGGCCAAATCTGACTTGTTCACCTTCCAAGTGTGAAAAAATGTATAAGGTAAATAGTTTTGGATATGCCTGGTATAACCAACCATCTCTGGAAACCTTGGAAATAAGTTTCATTGACTTCTAGGCCCATAGACTCATAAGCTGTTTTAATGTGCACAGTATAAATCTTTTAAGCTACCCGAATCTCAGTGATTATTTGTCTTCATGTGGACACTCTTCTCACACTTCAGGATTCACTCAAACCCCTTCCAAAGATGTTTCTTTCCTAAGGTGTGTGAAATAAATTGTGCTTGGTTTGGTCACAAGTTTATTGAATGGATGTTAGCATTTAGCTCTTCTGCAGAGTGTGTTCCTTTTTTTTTTTTTTTGCCAGTTTTAAAGTTGGCTTGAAAACTCATTTCTTCCAGTACTTTTTAAAAAATTTCTCATTTTGTAAAGAACCTTTTCTTTGAAGAAAAAACGACCACTCTTGAAGTATAAGGTAATAATGGTTAATATTTAAGACCCCAATAGTGTTCCAAGTATAGGGTATGAGACTTGTGAATTTTGATCTCTACTTAGTTTAAAATTCTTACCTCTTTGAGATTATGCATGTGAGTCCTGAGAATCTAGAATTATACAAACCAGAAAATGTTTTTGTTAGGCTGTTTTATGACCACAGTAGCAAGAGATTAGAGTAGTTTGGAGTTAGCAAATACTCTGATGAAGTATTTTCTTAAAGTGTAGTATGTTTGGAACCTAAACAAGGAGTGCTTCTGGATACTACCCCACCAAATTGCTTCACAGATTCTGCTTTTTTTTTCTCTTCTTACGCAATCCCATGATGTCTTTGTGTATTGTGTTTATCCCCTAACTCTAAATTCAGGTTTTTAAAGCCAAAACTTGTATTTCTATAGTAATTGTAGCCTTTGCATGTAATTTTCATTAATGAAAGGTTGAATTAAGTTAAGAAAATCGCCTAGTTTTTTCATCATAATTCTCTTGTTGGTCATTTTCTTTGACTTAAATAAGAATGCTTAATATTGTGGATATTATCAAAATAGAAAGTGGTACTTCTAAGATGAAATTACAAATGGTTTTACAAGGTAAGTACTGGTTTCCTTGAAAGCTTGAAGGGGAGGGAGTTCAGATACTGAGAGAAGTGTTGATGGAATTTGTCTTGTTTGTGTAGCCTTTTTTCTTTTCAGTAAAGCCCCAAACCTACACGATAAATATGAATGCTTTCAAACTTCATAATTTGGCCAAGTCAGTGGTTAGCGCTATAGTGTATGTGTCCAGCATAGTTTTGTTGATTAGTATTTGGACAAAGCTGTTGTTTTCTAATAGGGTATAGTGATTATTTTAGGAATGAGTGCTTTTTTAAATGGGTTATTGTAGGATATGGGCCATATAGAGTTAGGTGTTGTCATCATTTAGTTTTAACTTTTTTAGTGTCGGGTCAAAATTGATAACAGCAAATTCTCAAATCACTATTTTGAACTGCTTTAGGAGGCTATTTTCAGGTTATTAATTGGCGTAAATTTTCATGTTTGGAGGGGCCCGACAATAAGATTTTTGTGCTTAGATAGTAGATAAGAAATTTCAGACAAATGCATATATGTACTTTTGATGGAAAATGTTGTGGTCAAAAGAAATTTAAGGGTTTGGTATTTTTGCAGGATTACAAAAAGCATCCACTTTACAGCTGGTGTAGTTATGTGAGGTTCTCGCCCTTTAACCCTTCAGAAATTTTCTTCAGCATTTGAGGATTTTTCTCCTCTACCCTTAAAGTAGAGGGCACTTTCCTGTAATCTCAGCATTTGGGAGGTGAAGGTAGAAAAATCAGGCCGTCATCCTTTGGCAATTTAGAGGCCATTCTGGGCTATGTGAGACCCTGTCTCCAAAAAAAAGCCCTTAATCCATTTTATTGTTGACCGTTTCTATAACAAGGTGTAGTTTTTCTTTGCTCATTTCATTCATTGCCGGTTATTAAACTATTCCCCCAGTGATGTGGGTTTTTTCTAAGTATGCTCTTTTTTTTTAACCAAATGTTAGCCCAATAGTTGATCTTGTAGTTTTAGGAAGTAGTTGCTTGAGTTTAGCTGAGCTAATACAAATTGTCTAGGAGTGTTCTTAGTATATAGGAGAAAGATTAGAAAGTGGTAATGAAAGAAGCAGTACCAAAGTGGCCTTAATGTTGAAAAGTCCTGGTACCTACTAAAGCCTTTTTGTCTTCTGAATCTAAGCCCTGTATCTATCTATACATAGATAACCTTTAGGGAGGCCAGACACTAAGGAAACCTGCTTGGGCATTCTGATTCCATGATTACATTCGTGCTGCCAGTAAACCTTTCCCATTACATTTTAGTGATGGATCTTGAAAGAAAGCCAATTACTGTGACTCCCTTAAATAGCCATTCTAAAATGTCCCCAGTTTAAAACAAATAGTAATTAACTATAAAATTAGGCTGGAAATCAGGCTTTTCCTTGGAAAAGATACTACTATACCCATGGTTGCCTATGCCAACAATAGAATAAAGACTTGTCTTTTTTTTTTTTTAAGGAAATTTTTCTTTTTTTCTCCCCTCTTTCAAACCAGAAGAAAATGTAAGAGGAAATAGAGAGTAAAAGAGCATTCACAAATATTTTAGCAGAGTAACAAGGAAAACTAGATTGTTTTACCTGGACAGTATTTTACTTAGTGTCCCAGTATTAGAATTAAACTTCACTAATCTGCTAAAGGGGGCTTTTTTAACAATTTGAGGAGGTTAGCCATAATTTTCTCATAATTTGCCACCTTTCAAGTAAGTTCTCTCCTTTGGACATCCAGAAGACTAATGTTTTGCTAATAGAGGGGAAAACTTTACAACAGAATTCTTTTGGACATAACCACTGTTGGAATCAAGTTTGCTCTACTTTTCTTTATAGCTGTTGGCATGTAGTAGATAATTTCATTTAGTATCAGGATTTTAGTTCTAAATTTAGTAATTAAACTAATACAGTTTGACTAATACAGAGTTTTCAAGGGTGGGTTGGACAGATTCAGTTGTCAGGTTTGCTGACATTGTCTAACAATGCTCTTTCAAGTAAACAGTAATGTGGAATTGTGCATTTCTTATCTAGGCAAGTCACAACCCAACCTTTGTCATTGTGCAGATGAGTTGTCCATGCTTTTTCTTTCTTGCACTTTTGTATTGAAATGTGTCACTTTTTGACTAGAGATGTGCTTTTGACACTTAGCATTTTCTCTTGAATACAATAAGAAGTGTGAATTGTGATTACAATTTGTAAAATTGTTTAATGAACAGTAAATGTTCAGTGGCGCACTTCACATTCATGTTAAGCATGATGAATTTATTTGGAATAGAGAAATGATTACCATATACCAACAGGAAACTATGTAGTTTCAGTTTTTTGAACTGCATATTTTAGTATTTTTTAAATCCAAAACTACAAAAGGGATTTTTTTTTCTAGTTTCAGTTTTGGCACTGGATTTTATCCTGGAGTTTTAAAATATTCTTCATCCTGTTCTTTTTCTATTAAGGTTAATGTTGAAGAAGGAAAATGCGGAAGTCGTCATTTGACAAGTTTTATAAATGAGTATTTGAAGCTCAGGAATAAGTGAAGCTGAAATTTGAAAAAATAAAAGAAAGAATGCATGCTAATTATCAGACCAGAAGTCCCACTTGTAGAATATTGAGCAATTTGTGTGAAGTGGGGAAGATGAAAGAAGTCAGAATTTGAAACGGAAGAATGAAGAAAAGAAATAAAAATGAAGTTAAGATAAGAAGTAATCTGGAATCAGAAAGCACTACGCTAAGTAATTACTAGTCTGTTTATGTGTCCCTGTATATTTTGCTAAACATGCATGCATTATTTGTTTAATAGAAGAAAATATATACAGGGTAAAGAAGTGACTTCCAAGGGAATCGTTTAAATTAGGTAATTCTAATTTTAACTGCTTAGTCAAATGATGGAAATGCAATTCTTTAAAAATAACTATTTGTAGTCAAATAGCAGGAAGCAGTTGCTAATCCCCTGGGGGAATAATAGTTGGCCTCCCATCTTCCCTTACTTAGACTTTTCACCTGTTATACTCTGCTGTTTCTGGGGCATGAGTGAGTATGAGTTGGAACTGATGGTCTGTTACTTAACCACCCTTTGGACTCTTAAAATGCACTGATAGTTTCTGCTTTGATACAGTGTATAGTAGAATATTTTCTACTGGAAAACTTGCAAGACTGTCACCAGGGTGGTAATGGGACTAAACCCTCAAAATCTAAGCAAAACATCTAACATGGTTGTTTTGTTGTAATGAAAGCATTAGGTTTCCACATATTGGTGGAAAGCTATAACCACTTAAGTCCTAATGTTGAGATCTACTGTGCCAAATAAGGATGTTCTGTATATTCTGTTGCATGCCTGTTCCAATTGAATTATAAGGAGTTTTGCTTAAGTATAGTGGCTTCCCTTAGATGAGTCATGCAAGTATGATAGCTAATTCAAAGTGCAGTGGTTGCTGCTACTTTGTTGCCTTTTTCCCTGTCCTTAGTTCATTATAATGATCTTAAGCATGGTTTTCTTCTAGTGTGTGTGCTACCTCAACTGAAAAGAAAACCAACTCAATTCTTTTCTGTGTTTTGACTTATAGTTAGATGGTTAGCATGTTAATAACAAGTACTCATAATCAGTAGCAGACAACCAATAATTGCCTGCTCTGTGCAGAATATTGAAGGTTATCATCTTGAAATAATGACAACTTTTATTCTGAGTGTTGTCAGGAAAAAATTACTTAAATGACCTTTCATGAAGGGTGCATGCTTTGTTGGTACACTTGAGCCTATTGTCAGTGCTTTTTACTTGTGCTTCTTTCCTTGTTTCTGTATCTTGCTAGGAAAATACAATTTTCATTTATAGCAGTTTGTTGCTTTGTAAAACTGTTAGATAATAATGAAATAATGTCAGTTTTATGTTACTACTCAAGCTTAAAGGGGATTTGAATTTCCATATGGTCCAAGTGGCTACACTTAAAGCGAAAATGTTGATGTTAGCAAAGTTTCCCATCTTTTTTTTCCTTTTCAGAAGGTGTCTCCTATGGACATTGAGGGTGCTGCTGACAGGGAAAACAGGGCTGAAATTGGGGGTTGGAATTTTACTTGCAATACTTGCAATACAGGGAAGATTACTTTGCCAAAGAACTATAGAAAGATTTAACTTCTGACATTGAGTTTGTGAGGCTTAATTAAATTTAGATGTATTTTTGCTTTTTAGGATTAGGGTGCCTAACACAAACTAAAAGCTCTTTAGGACTGTGTATTATGAGCTACTATAAGGAAAGATTTAATACTTCTGAGATGCTGTTCTCAATATAGGAGGAGCTACAGGCTGCTTGAGATTTTATTTTTGAACTTGACCTGTTTCTTATATGTTGGTTGTCATTAGTTAAAAATGACTAAGATTTGAGGACTTTTTTGGGGGAGAATTTCTGTCATTGTTGATGCTTTTTGGCATTGGCCATCCATAGTATAGTTCTTTTTGTAGAGTTCTATATGGCTTTGTCTGTCACTCAGAGTTGAATTTGAAATATTACTTGTAAAGGACTTTTCTGGCTGGTTTTATAGAATTGTTTGTGCATTAAGGTTTACGATTAGTGTAGAGCTTTGTATTTAGCTAATCACTGGATTTCATTTCTTCACACAAAATCTTCTCACCTTTATAGATATTCTACATAACTGGAAGGATTTAACAAAGGATTAGCTGGCAAAGTTTTTAAAGGTAGTTTTTTTGTGGGTTCTTTCCCAGCCACCAGCTAACTAGCAACAGTGCCAGTATACAGGCAAAGGAGATCTTTTGTGTTTCCACTCATTTTTAATCCAAGAAATTGTTGCTCAAAAAGTACATGTGGGACAAAGCCTATTAGATTTGGAGACTGAGTTAAAAAAAAAAGTCTCGAATGTTCCAAGCCATCTGTTGAGACACCTTAGTCTACTAGACTTTCAAGAAAAGAAACTTTCCTCATCTAATTTCCCATTCTAGAAATTTCTGTTCTCTTAGCAGACAGATAGCTGAGACATCCCAGTTTGGGATAAAACTTTGGTTAAAAAGAAGCAACAGTCCTTTTTGAGGATTTATGTATATGGTACTCTATTTTGTTTTTGTTAAAGCTTCTAATTGTTCTGTAAGGTAGTCTTACAGAATTTGAAAAAATGCATTTTTATTAACTTTCTAGTCCCTTGCTTCTGTTTTCTCTTGTAGATTAGCCTTTCCCTATAGTAAAGATGACAAAAACTACACTGTAAGTTTTTGGTTTTGGCCAAGAAGAAAGTGAGGTATAAATTGCCTTGCTGAACATTTTGCTTGAACATTAGATACTGAAATCCAATGACTGGTTAGTTGGGGTAGTCTCTCCCCACCACGAGCAGTGAATTCTAAACTGTATTGTGGTATTAAAGGCAGCTGAGTCACACGTGGCTTATTTTAATCTTAGCTATTCCTTGGGGGATGAAGTTCTGGTAGAGAGGTAAGTTATCTGTCACATGTTAAATCACAGCCATGCTTTAGTGTGTCCTTGTAGTAATTTTCTAGATTATTTGGGGTCTGGAAAGCTGCTCATTCTTGCAGTTGTCTTCATCTGTTTACTTGAGGTTCCCTCCCTTCTGTTGTCTATGAGATGCATATTTTTGTGTTCTGAGCATTGAGGAGGAATGCTCTAAATTGTCTTCCTTATTCTGTATGTAAATCATAGTCTGGATTCTAAAATAGTTGGAAATGATTTTTGAGATACATTGTCCTTTTAGCTTTGCTTTCTTTTTAGTGGTTGTAGCTGTATCTTAAGAACAATTGACTCGACTATGCCTTTCATTTTTGTCTTAAAAGGTTTTGTCATAGTGAAAGCTTAGTTGTCTGGGGAATGAGCACTGGCTCTTCCCATTTAATAAACGGAGTCCATGGTATTTGCCTAGGCATCTACAGAAATTTTCCTGAGCTGGGAGTTCCTGATTTTATCTTTGTTTTTAATGTGCCTTTTACATATTGTTTCTGCTTTTTCTTGGTCTCCTGTTTGATTTTGCCTTGGCTCTTGCCAGTGTAGCCAAGAAAGCTGTGGATCTTTGGCACCTTTTCTGCTCTTAGTAATTTGTTGTCGCTTTTGTTCTTAGTTCCTTTTGTTTGCTCTTGAGTTTTGTAAGAGGTCTCAACATACATTAAAAACTATCTTAGCCATTTTCTGTCCATTAGCTAGTCTTTTAGATTTTTTCCTACCTTCCAAGCTTGAAACACAAGATTATCCTTAACTATTTTATTTTTGTCCCTCATTCAACAAACCGTAACTTGAAGTTAAATAAATTTTTTGGGGTTTTGTTTTGATTGTTGCTTGACTGGAGTAGACTAGTTTTCATAGTTAACTAAAGTTCTTTCCCACTCTATGTAGTAAAATTCCCAAATGTAATACTTGGGTAGTTCTTTAAACAATCTGACTTTGACACCTTTTAGGGGAGTGGAGTTAGATAATTCTTGTGGAAGAACTAATTGATGTAAGTTGAAGCAATGAAACTATTATACCAGGTATACTCAATTCCTGCCATCACATATGTTTTCTTATCTTTGGAAGAGGATTGGTCTCCTTGGCCATTTATCTCACAGAAGCTTATTTATTTTTAAAGCTTCTCAAAAAAGTATACAAATTAAAACTTTTGACATCTGCGTGTAGGAATCCCGTTCTGCTTCCAGAAGTGGAAGTGCTCACGGATCGGGGAAATCTGCACGGCACACACCTGCAAGATCTCGCTCCAAGGAAGATTCAAGGCGTTCTAGATCAAAGTCACGGTCCAGATCTGAATCCAGGTAAGAAAGACTATTTTGAAATCTCCTTCTGTTATCTCTGCTTTAAAATTAGTGTGATTTGTTAAGCTAAGGAAAGTAAAGGATATGTTCATTTATTGGTCTTTTTAATGTTGCTATTAGAAATGGGATCCAGAAGACTAAAACAACCTGGGCTTCTGGGGTCAGGGTTCAGATCTTTTGCTGATTTGAGTAGATTATGCTTAACTTTTTAACTTTGGCTGCTTATAACACCAATACTTCATCTGTCAGTGCATTCTGGTTTTGGTGACCCCTTTATGTTTTACTTTACTCAAAAGCCACAAACTTAATTATTTTCTGTGTGCATTGATGTTTTGCCTGCATGAATGTCTGTGTTAGGGTGTCAGATCTTGAGTTACAGTTGTGAGCTGGCTATCATGTAGGTTCTGGAAGAGCAGCGAGTGCTCCTAACTACTGAACCATCTCTCCAGCCCAAAAGCCTGCTTGCTTGCTTTTTTCTTTCTTCTTCTTTTTTTTTTAGTCAGGATTGATATCCACCTACCTCTGCCTCCCAAGTGCCCTGGGATTGAAGGCACAGGCCACCACTGCCTGAATTAAGAGATAAATGCAGTGGCTTTTGTTAATTGGCCAAAATGAATAGTTGGCATAATAGAAAATACAGAAATAGAGGATAAAAGGTTAAAAAGGCATGCACAAACCAAACGCGTAGTACGGTCCAGTTTTCAGAACTTTAAATATCCTTAACTTTAAATTTTTCTTAATGTTATTTTGGAAAAAATAATGAGGGAGCCTATTGTTCTTGACTTTGGTTGCTTAACAAAATAAAAATGATTAGATGGGGTAATTTTTTTTATCATGAACTATGTCCTGTGTTTGGAATTTAACTCTAGAATAGAGTAATAAAGAAATTGAAAGGTTATCTATTCTGTTATTTAGACATAACCTCAAGTTCTATCTTGCAGGTCTAGATCCAGAAGAAGTTCTAGAAGGCATTATACAAGGTCACGATCACGATCCCGCTCCCATAGACGATCTCGGAGCAGGTCTTACAGCCGAGATTATCGCAGGCGGCACAGCCACAGCCATTCTCCCATGTCCACTCGAAGACGTCATGTTGGGAATCGGGTAAGATGGGAAAGTTTTCTGAAGTGGAATGGACTGAACCCAGGTTATTATGTACATGAGGCAGATCAAACTGAGGTCCCTTCCCAGCCTGAAGACATTTTTGAAACATTGTACTGACAGTGGAGTTTTTAGCTTCTGCTTCTAGAAATGGAAGTGTTTTTATTATTATGTAATTTTCCTACCTAATAAGTTTTCTATGTAAAATTTCAGGAACTTTTTTAAAGTTCCTTAATGTATGACTGGAATGTTTGTAATGTGTTTATAAATTTATTTTACTAATGATAGCTGCTAAAGTAATTTGTTGCACTTTCTTGGGTTTCATGTATGTTTGTCTATAATTAATATGTGATATAGTTCCCCTTGTCTGTTTCAATTGCTAGACATTAAAAAATTAATGGAAAAGTCCACAAATTTATGAAGCTTACTGTTTGCTTCATCTTTAGTTTGAAGTCTTGGCACCATCACCCCCATCTTTTAGTAACTACTAATGTGCTTAGTTTGCATTTAAATTTTATATCTGATTACTTAAAATACTCAACAAAATATAAATGTTCTGTAAACAGTTGTTAACATATGCTGCTACTTAGGTGGGAGGGCTAACTGTAGTTGTGACACCCTTATTGTACCCTCCAAGACTTCATTTCCTTCTGTTCCATAGATGTATTTCCCTTATTTCCAGTTATTTACTCCAACCTAGCCTTGCACAGCTATGCATAACATGACATTCTGTTAAGTATCTTTAAGTTGTTTTCCTTCTTTAATAGTGATGCATCTACCCTACACTCAAACCCACAGATAGGGTTTCTCTGTAGCCTTGGCTCTCACCCTGTTAGACTATGCTGACCTGCTTCTGCCTCCCAAATGTTGGGATTAAAAGCATGCACCACCACTGCCTGGCTGTTTACATTTTTGAAATAAGCTCTCACTGTGTTGTGCCACTGTGGCTGTCCTAAAAATCAGAGTAGACCAGGTTGATCTCTAACTAAAAAGATCCACTTGATTCTGCTTCCCTCGTGTTGGAGTGAGTGCATGACTACCTATATCCAGTTCAATTTATTTATTTTTTATTGCATTTGTACACATGATTGAGGGGGCATGTGCCAAGGGGTACACATAGATGTCAGGACAATTGAAGGAGTTGGTTTGTGTCTAAGGAGTCCAGGAATAAGTTTCCAGTGAACAGAAGGGGGGAGAGTATGTCAACCAAGAATGAGCAGAGGGATATTTCCTGGGTTTCAGCAATACCCCCTCTTTGGCAATTCTAGCTGGTGTAATGGCTCACAGTCAAGATAACTGTGAGATTTTGGTCACCTTGGGTTACATGAACTCCAGACTAAAACAAAACAGCGTATCTATATTTTTTTCCTTATAATAAATTCCCTGATGATTATTATTTATCTAAGCTGAGCTCCAAACTTCAACAACAATTATCAGAACAGAATCTCATAATGATCCTCCTCCCTGTTTTAGGGTTGAATTTAACTTAGTTTCCTTGTGGAATTTCCTACCCTTCTTTGTGGTTATCAGTATATGCCACAGTGTTTTGTAAGGTATAGTGGTGCTTGATCTAATTTATCATCCTAATAATTGTTTTTTATGTTATGTTCTAGTTAGTTGTCTTTACCTTGTCCACTTACCCCCTTTAAGATCTATGTAAAATTTTCAGATTTTAAAATCTGTTTGTTTTCTAGGCAAATCCTGACCCCAACTGTTGTCTTGGGGTGTTCGGATTGAGCTTATACACCACAGAAAGAGACCTAAGAGAAGTGTTCTCTAAATATGGCCCCATTGCTGATGTGTCTATTGTGTATGACCAGCAGTCTAGACGCTCAAGAGGATTTGCCTTTGTATATTTTGAAAATGTAGATGATGCCAAGGAAGTAAGTAAATATCTACTTGTACTTTTGTTCTGATTGACCAGGCAATTTCTGGCTTTATATTATAGATTGAAGATGTAAGACATACAACTATAGTTTTGAGTTTTTGTTCTTTGAAGGAATTTAAAAAATTTCCACTTGGAACATGTTGAATTCAGTGGTGTTCTGAACTTAACTCTCAGCCTTACATTCCAAAAAAACAAAACAAACAAACGTGACTTAGGTTGGTTAGTCTTAGTACTTTCTTCAGTAAGGTACTGTCTCTAGGCTAAAAACATTTTAAAGTAAAATCCAAACACATCACTTGATTTTTCAGTAATGCTGTGCTGGTATAAAAAGTAAACCCTGAAGATATTTTGGCAAAGAATAATACACTGAGCTATTTTCTAAAAGTACATGTATTTTAGATTTTAAGTTTGTATGTGTGGGTGTTTGCCTTCGTGGATGTCTTTGCACTATGTATGCAGTGTCTGTGAAGGCCAGCAGAGGGCACTGGATCCCCTGGAACTTGATCTACAGTTGTGATGACTCCTAGTGTGGGTGTTGGGAATTGAATACATGTCTTGAAAAGCAGCCAGTTCTGTGAACTTCAGTCCATGCTCATTTTAGTTGGGAGGGAGGCAAGTAACTAATAATAGATCAAGACTGCTTTTTAGAGATGTTTGGCTCCCACAACAGGCATTTTGAATCATAGAATATAAACAAATTTGTTTTTATTTCTTCCCATACCAAATGGCCATAGGTAAAGAAGAGCATTTGGACTTGTTCAGCAAGTATAGACATTGAAATTTGGGTTTCATAAATGGTGTGATGTATGTGTGTGTGATCCCAGCTCTTAGGATGTTAGAGACCGATGGATTAGCTAAGTTCACCTGCGTTTGTAGGTAGTTGTAATAAGTATGTTGTGGGTCATGTAGACTGCTGTGGTGTTTATCCCTTTTTATTTTTGTGACTACTTTTAGCAAGTGAGTTTGTAGTAGAGGGAGTAACAATTTAATTTAGGTTTTTTTTTTTGCTAAACTTCTATAAAAATATTAGAAAACTGGATGGAAAGTACCTTTAGTCTTCATTAAATAGCTGTAAGATAAATAGAGACAATAATTCAGGGTATATATATAACAATTTATTTATCTTTTGAAGGCTAAAGAACGTGCCAATGGAATGGAGCTTGATGGACGTCGAATTAGGGTCGATTTCTCTATAACAAAAAGGCCCCATACCCCAACACCAGGAATTTACATGGGGAGACCTACTTAGTAAGTTTGCCGTGTGTGTGTGTGTGTTCCTTTCTTATACATGGGTTCTGAAGATTAGCTCAGTTTCCAGGCTGTAAGCTCCATTACCTAGCCACTTTGCTGTTAATGTCACTTCCACCTCCACGGATCTCCCTTTATTGTTTTTATGCCCCCCCCTTCAGTGCACTCAGCCCAGTTAATACGCTCATGCTTCATGGGTGTGTAGCCATCTGCTGCATTATGGTCATCCTTACCATTGTCACACTGCTTGAAAACCATCTTCTCCAGCTGTATGTAGTTCCTTGAGTAGGGGTGGGACCTGGGAAGGAACTTTTTTCTTATGCTTGCTAGAATGTTTACTGGTGCAGGTAACTACTGTTTACTCATAAATTGAGTCGTGTTCAAGCTGTACCATTGTGCATCTTCCTAATCTATGGCTTTAGAATCTTTCTATTCCTGGTGTTTGAGCCTGGGGGAGGTGAGGGGATAGGTTGGTATTGATCCATTTAGTCTACATTTTAATCAGCTGTGAATGTTTATCCAGTTGCTGTCTAGTGCTTCTCTTGCAAAGACTGAGTTCTGATTCTTGGGTATCATTTTAGATTTTGAGACAAGTATCAATCCAGAGGTTGCAAACTAGCTACCTCTAGTCTCTGGCCTTCATGTCACTATACTTTGGGTGCTGAGGGTCTATTCAAAACTTAATACTTACGTGTTGAGCCATCTCAGAAACCTCTAAATAAAATTATTTAAAACAAAATGGGGGGGGAGGTTAGTTGGCAGATGTTAAAAGACATCTCCCTGTGTTCTCTCCTTCCATCTTTATGTGAGTTGTGTTGTAAGCGCTGTCACTCAGTTAATATTTTGTATGTATATGAGTGTTTGGGTAAGCACATAGACAGGTGGCATATGTGGAGGGCAGAACAACCTTTGTGTTTCCTCGCCTTTCATATTGTTTTAAGGTGGGTTTATGTTCACCGCTCCAGTGTATCTGCTTTGAACTTCTGGAAATTTCTGCTTGTACATCCCATCTAGCCTTAGAAACATTAGAATAGGTATGTGACAGGCACTTGGCGTGGAATTTGAGATGAGTACTCAGGTAGTCCTGTTTATGGGCTTTTTACTTTACTCACTGAGTCTAATTTTAAAAAAAAAAGATTAAAGGAAAACCCTTTTAAAGACAGGTTCTCAGCCCAGCAGTGGTGGCAAATGCCTTTAATCACAGCATTTGGAAGGCAGGGCATCTCTGAATTACAGAACAGCAGGGCTACACAGAGAATCCCTGTCTCCCAATTCCCCCCTCACCTCCAGGAAAAAAGGAAAAGGAAAGGCAGGATCTCACCAGAAAACCCTGGCTGACGTCAATCTCACAGACTTCTGCTTCCTTGGTGCTAGAATTAAAGATGTGTGCCAATACCCAACAATTTTTTAGAAAGTCGTGGATTTGTGTGCCTCTAAAACTTATTAAAAGTTAATGTTGTTTTTCACAGTGGCAGCTCACGCCGCCGCGATTATTATGACAGAGGATATGATCGGGGTTATGATGACCGGGACTATTACAGCAGGTCATACAGGTAAGCTCATTCACACTTCATTTACAGCAGCGCAAAACACCTAAAATTTTAAAACAGTATAGCTGCAATTTAAACCAAAACTTTAGACCTACGTCTATTTTGCTATCTAGTTGGATGCTTGCCTAATTTTTAAATACAAATGAGACATTAAACTTGGTGTGCTAATATACAGATGAAACTTGACTTTACGCGTGTATGGAAGCCAATCTTTGGCTTTTCCTTGGGTTCTGGGAATTTGATTCAGATGGTTAAAGTATCAAGGCTGCAGTCACCAAGCAATTCTAAGCCTTTAGCAGAAACTTCTGTTTAACTATAGACCGTGTGTTTATTTTTTTGTAAATGAGATTTTTCTTGTTGAAGATTGTTCATTATACCATTGTCTGTAGAACTAAGTCTTTAATATTTAGATGTCCAGGATTTTAACAAAATGGCATTTTTCCCTTTTAAGCATTGGTGTGTTAAGTAGCACATGGGACTGAGAAGTTTTTATTGAGAGCAACTATGCCATTCAGGAAGAACTCTTTAACACATTAACTACAAAACAGGGTTTTGTCCATTCTTGTAGCATTGTTTTAACTAAAAACAATTTTCTTTTCTGTTTTTACAGAGGAGGTGGTGGAGGGGGAGGCGGATGGAGAGCTGCTCAAGACCGCGATCAAATTTACAGGTGTGTAAATTTCTGTTAAAGTCTGAGTAACAGAATACTTGTAAAATGTTTGCCTGATACTTAGGCAACTGTTCTCTAAGTGACACCATGAAGATTGGGTTTTGTTTTGATTATTAGAGACAGGGTTTCTATAACCTGAAACTTAAGAGATTCTGCCTTTGCCTCCGAAGTTCTGAGAGTAAAGGCGTGCCCTACCATGCCTGGCCTTGTTTTTATTTGAATTAACTTATATGTGTATTTAGTCAGTGTTTTAGGATTTTGTTTTGTTTGAAACAGGGTTTCTCTGCAGTCCTAGCTGTCTTGGAACTAGCTCTTGTAGACCAGACTGGCCTTGAACTCAAAGAGATTCGCTTGCCTCTGCCTCCTGAGTGCTGGGATTAAAGGTGTATGCCGCCACCTTTAATGCATCTGCATTTTTATGTCTACCAATACATACTTTGTTTCTTTATAGACAAGAAGATGACCTCACATTTTGAGCCACCCTGTGGGTGCTGAGAATTGAACCTAGGTTCTCTGCAAGAGTAGTGAATGCTTATAACGTTAGCTATCTATCTCTCTGGCCACATGAATTTTCTTAAAGTTCATAATAGTTCTCAATGGACAATGTAAAAGGGTTCGTAGAAATTAAAAATTGAACTTTAAGATGCTTTTAGCGTTTATTTGGACATAATACACTGCACTTTAAAGGTTTATTGGAACCTCTCAGCTTGAGAACCTGCAAAAGTTTAGCTTCATGTTATTAGCCCAGTGTTACCTAGGTGTAGATATACACAGTTTTTATTTATTTACAGAAGACGGTCACCCTCTCCTTACTACAGCCGTGGAGGATACAGGTCACGTTCCCGATCACGGTCATACTCTCCTCGTAAGTTGCCTTGATTAGTTTTATTTATCTATTATAATGTGATTTGTATAACTATTTTATAAATTGGAAGTCCACATGGTTCTGTCCTCATTGGTGTGACACCTAGATGATTAAATAAAATTCTCATTTTATATATGGATGTATATACATCTAATGCTTGAATAAATTTCTTATTCATGTGAGAGACTTGATTCCCAAACATTGACAGGTTTTGTTTTCTTTCCAGGTCGCTATTAAAGCATGAAGTTGAAAACTTTCTGAAACCTGCCATAGAGCTGGGATATTGTTTGTGGACAATATTTTCTATTGTCTCCTGTTTAAAAAGTGAACAGTGCCTAGTGAAGTTAGGTGACTTTTACACCTTTTATGATGACTACTTTTGGTGGAGTTGAAATGCTGTTTTCATTCTGCATTTGTGTAGTTCGGTGCTTTGTTCAAAGTTAAGTGTTTTCAGAAAAGTATGTTTTGCATGTATTTTTTTACAGTCCAAATTTTGACTGCTGAGAAGTTTCTATTGTACAAAACTTCATTTAAAAGGTTTTTCTACTGAATCCAGGGTATTCTGAAGATCGAAGCCTGTGTGTAAAATGCTACCAAATGGCAAAAAGCAACAATAAACAAGTTTGATTTTTACTTTTCTTTCTAAATATCAATGCTTAACCATTCTTAAGTTTCCAGTAAAATATTTTAAAATAAAGATACTTGTTTTCTTTCGGGAGTCCATGAAACTTGCCATATTTGATATACTTGCAATTAAGTGTTAAAAATACGCTGTAACTCTGTGCTGCTAGTATTAGAACAAAAATCTTTCCATACAGCAAGTGCTTAATGCTTACATTAATGTGGATTTGTCAGCCTTTATGTAATCTGTATTATATAGAGCAGGGAATAAGAGCTTCAGATACATGTCTTTAAAAGGCTGTTTGTTACAAAGAGTATTTCAACTAATTATCAACAAGTGACAACAATACATTCCACCACAAATGTACTCTTGTTCTTCTAGCTTAGACTATATGGAAATACTGGGTGCTTCAAAGTTTGGAATGAGAGAAGGGATCACCACACCTGTGTCATGGATGAACTGAAGACTGCCTGTTCATTTTTTAAATATTATTTTCAGGTCCTTTGCTTACCAGAGGAGGCCCAATTCACTCAAATGTTTTGAGAACTGTTTAAATAAAGGCAAAGAGAAAAATTGCTAATGCAACTTGGTTTACGAAGAAGTGTTGACTTTCTTTTAACTTATTGTAACTAAAGTCTTATGGTTTATTTAGTGCTTAGTGCAATATTGTTTTTTCTTCAAGATAATATACTGTGTGCTGTTTTGGAAAAAATGTATTTCTCAAATATATTAGCCAAGTAGATACTGCAATGAAGATTTCTCTTTGGGGCTGAGGTTGTATTAAATAACTCTGATTTTCTTTTTCTTTCTTTTTTTCTTTCTTGCTTTGGAACCAGTCCTGGAACTAGCTCTTATAGACCAGGCTGGCCTTGAACTCAAAGAGTTCCACCTGCTTCTGCCTCCTGAGTGCTGGCATTAAAGACATGCACCACCACCACTGCCCGGTTGTGATTATTTTTCAAAGCATGTTTTTAGTACCAGCATTAGTTTCTATTTAAGGCTGTTATAAGTATAGCTAGCCTGTGACTTTTTAGCCCTCAGCTATTATAGATACTAACACGACATTGCCTGGATTCAAACCTTTCTGAGGACCTTTTTATTGTTGCCTTATAGTTTCCCTACACCTCCGTTAACTTTGGATTCAGCCTAGATCTGTGAGTGCTCTGAGGTACAGCCCAAGCCCTAAGCTTGTGTTCAGGGAACATGGTATCACAGCAGTCTCTTACATAAAGAAAATCAAGCATTTTGGTGTAGGAAATATATTTGACAGTAACCTGTAAATTACATTAAACTAATGAGAGCCTTGGGGTTTGGTGGGGCAGTTAAGAGTTTAAGGGATTTTCAGATTTGAGGTTTTAGGGGTGGGGCAGTTAGGATTAGTGGGGATAAAAGGGTTTTCCAGACTTGTAATGGAGACCAGATCAGAATTATCTTTTTGGACAGCTAAGCATAACACTGACAAATTGTACTCAGTTCAGATTAGGTGTTGGTCATATTTTTAAAATTCTAGTTCTAGTTGAGCAGTGGTGGCACATCCCTTTAATCCCAGTACTCAGGAGGCAGAGGCAAGTGGATCTCTGAGTATGAGTTCAGCCTGGTTTACAAGAGCGAGTTCTAGGACAGACTTCAAAGCTACAGAGAAACCCTGTCTTGGAAAAACAAAATAAATTCTAGACCCCAACCTTAATCTCTGCAATGACTTTAATATTTTGTATAGGGTTTTTTAAAGTCTTGCCTATTTTAAAAATTAGTGTATTGAGCTGGGTATGGTGGGACACGCTTGTAATTCCAGTACTTGATAGAGGCGGGTTTACCAGGAGTTAGGTCATCCTGGGCTACATTAGACCCTGTTACAAAGTTCACTAGACAGGGTCAAATCTGTAAAGAAATACAGGACATGTGTGTTCATGTGTGTTCTGTGCATGCATGTCATGGCAAAAGCTGAGTATATGAGACCTCAAGGCGTGCCCACACAGTGACACACTTCCTCCAGCAAGGCCATACCCACTCCAGGAAAACCACAGCTCCTAATAGCTTTTGCCACCCCATGTAAGAGATTATGGAGGTCAATTGCATTCAAACCGCCACAAAGTCCCATGAGCCAGTGCTGTAAAACTTTGAAAGTCTGAGAACCCAGAGCACTGAATGAAGGGGAAACAAAGATCTTTGCTCTTAATTCTGTTCTTTCCTTGCTTCTTTTCATTACCATCCCCCCCTCTCTTGTGTATCTAGTGTGGGTGTGTGTGGTGCATGCCTGTAGGTGTGCAGGTGCGTATAACTCCGTGCAGAGGCCAGAGGAAGAAGAGTGTTAGACTTTGTTACTCGGCCTGATTTCTTTAAGACATTTAATTCCTTTAGGGTTTCTATTGTGTGAAGAGACACCATGACCATGGCAACTCCTAAGGGGTGGCTCACTTAACAGTTTCGGAGATTCAGTCCTATGTGACAGTGGGGAGCATGGCAGGGTGTAGGCAAACATGGTACTAGAGAGGTAGCTGAGATTCCTGAATCTTACAGGCAACAGGAAGTGGACTGTACCACACACTTTCTCCAACAAGGCCACACCTCCTAGTACCACTCCCTATTGACTTATGGGGGCCAATTGCATTCAAACTACTACATCTCAAAAAAAGGGTGATGGAATGGAGCCACTAGCACTTCTGAGTCCCAAGTAGTCTAGCTCTGATGTTCTTGCAGCTGCTGAGAACTTTAGGTGCCTTTTGGCTCTGTCCTGTGCCAGGTAGGAGACTGATCACGGCAGTACTCAGCGCTGGCTGGCTGAGAAGTGAAGAAGTAATGAGCGGAGGGGCTTGTTGGAAAAGCAAGAAAATGGGACCTGAAGAGCATGCAGAGGGTACAGGAAGGGAAAAGTCATTGTGAGGATTCCAGCTCACAATCAGTTATCAGTTAGGGCCCGGCAAGTGAGTGCTGTGGAGGGCTATGGCTTCCAGGACTTTTCATGAGCCCAGATTGTGAACCATAAAGTATGGGGTCAGAAAGCTGCAGATGTAAAACTGTTTTACGGGGTTTTGTTCTTTTGGAGACAGGGTCTCATCCTGTAACCTTAGCTGGTCTGGAACTCGATATGTAGACTACGTTGGCCTCGAACTCACTGCCTCTGTCTCCAGAGTGTGGAATAAAAGGCGTGCACTACCATGCTCTAATTTTAAGTTTTATAGATTATGCCTATAGGCAAAATGTATCTATTAAATTTGATGCAACAAAAACTAATAAGTTACTCGTGTATTTAGTGTGCAGTTAGGATGCCAGACATTTCACTGCGGTAAGGGGGTGAGAGGGCGCAAAGAGAAGCTGGAAGCTCTGAGTGGAAATCACTTAGCTAATGAGGAAAGAAGGTTCAGATAAGGACAGAGTGAACAGCGATAAGAGGCATAGATAAAAGCCAAAAGAATTTATCATTTGGAGCACCGATGGGGCCCGCTGCTCAGGCCAGCAGGAAGACTCGGAAGTGCCACCAGTGTCCCATGGCATTGGCAGGCGGATGCCACTACAATAAACAAATACGTGATGGAGAGATAGGAAGCAGAAAAATGGGGCGGTGTGTGTACTGAAGAGAGGCGGAGCTGGGGATGTGAATGCAATGACAGATGAGAGAGGGCTGACGCTGACATGCTGTTATAGCTCGGCAGGGTCGGTGGGCTGGTATACAACAGCCAGGGACTTATACAGATGCAGGCTCGGCCCCCTGAACCTGCCACTGGCCACGGGCACCCCCTGTCTCTGGTCAACGACGGAGGCCCAAGGAGAGGAGCATTTCACTTTCTGGATTGTACTTCATCAAAGGACCACTGTGGTCCACGATTCCACCGGAGACCATGTTGGTGTCTATGGTCTGTGATGCTGCCCCAGGCTGCACTGAAGCCTGAGGTCCATGTGGTCCTATGCATCTGTGCAGTTGCCTGATGTCTTGGTGACGTCCTGGGGCTTTGCCGCCTTGTGGGGCTCTCCTGAGTGGCATGTTACGTAGCTACCTGAGGTCATGTTGAGACCTGTGGACCATGCAGCCGATGAAGGGCCATGAGTGGGTCGATGGTTCTGACCCTGCCAAGTGGCCTGCCTTTTCTACATGCAGATGTTTGTGATCTGGGCAGGTGCCCGAAGCCATATCAATGTCTGAAGACCCTGGAGAACTGGCCCTGCCCCTAATGAGAGGGCAGCCCCATCCTTTGTGGGAGAGCTGGTTCCACCCCTCGAGGAAGAGCTAACCCCGCTGGTTATAGACAACTGCGAGGCAACACAGGTGGTGACTTAACCTGGGAGGGCCGGCCCCACATCACAGGCGAGGTGTAGCGGGCTGGGAGAGCTGGTCCCGTCCCTCTGCAGCTCTCCTCAGTTGATGACTTCTGACACAGATGCAGAGGGAGAAAGACACATCCTCCCTTGGGAGGCTGGCCCATAGGAATTTGACCATGCTCCTGAGTAGACATAGACAACACAAAATGGACTTTTTTTTTCCCCCCCTTTTTCTTTTGGGAGAAAGTCCAAGAGGAGGGGTGGCAGACATGGGAAGACTGGTAGGTGAGCTTGATTAGGGTGTATGATGTGAGATTCCCAAATAACTAATAAAAATTTGTTTCTGACCCTTCCTATGGAGTTAGTAAGGTGTACAGAGTTAATGGTCCCGTGTTCGACCGGGGGCTGGAATCACTGATTCTGGCAGGGTCACTTCCATCCAGCAGAAGGTAAGAGTGTATCCAGAAAGAAATCTGCTGACACCAGGCGCCAGCAGGCCTGCTGAGTCAGGCCAATATGAGCATCCAAACCCTTGTAACCCCCAGCACACGAGTCTCCACTGCAGCTGTTGGAGCAGGACCAGGCTTACAAATTGCCTTTCGTGTCACTTTGCCAAGTGAGTGTTCAGTCCCCTGTCCCCATGCCTCCTCCTGTGCCCCTCAACCAGTGCCAGGCTGAGGAATAAATGACAGTGATTTCTTTGGCATTTTCCCCTGGGATAAGTGAACTTAGTTCAAGATATAGACTCCAGTATATTTTCATGTCTCTGCAGCCCCAAGGCTAGAAGTTACATAAATATAATTAGGTTTGTGTGTCTGCTTATTATTGCATCAATTAAGAACAACTAGCTGG